TTTTTAACTCGGGTGATCCCTAATGTTAAAATTCGTAAACCCGCCTAGTCCCTCATTTAACATTCCGTCTGTTTTTGTGGTTAGAACCCCCCACGTGAAAAGCACGTTGGGGTATTTTTGTCTTTTCATATCACCCAGTCTTTAAATATGGTTTATTCGTCTTCCTCCCTCATTTCTTTCTCAATCGTAGTGTTCTCCTCCCACCTTTCTTCTCACAGCCGATTAAAAATGGTGAAATGCAATTGTGGTGCGATAGGCGTTATACGAACTTCAACTAAGAAAAGAAACCCAGGTAGGGCATTTTATGCTTGCCCGTTAGAGGTATGATCTTGTATTGTTTTGGGGGATTTTCTATTTTAACCCTAGTATGTATATCTGCTAATCGAAGCCATTGACAGTACAGAGACCAAGGTCTGGCTTTATTAAGTGGGTAGATGATGAAAAGCATGGTGATGAGGCGGAGATAAAAAATGAGGGGCTTGAAGTCTGAATTCAAGAACTTGAGTCCAAAATCGGATATCTGAAAACATTGTTAATAATCAGTTGGGTTTTTGTTTTTTGGGATAATTGTTTACGAGTTGTAGTGTTAGGTTTAAGATCAATTGATGTAGTTGTTTTTGTTTATAATGCTTTGTAATGAATGTTATTTGTATCAATGGTACCCTTTTATCAATGCATTGTAATGAATCTTATTGGTATACCCTTTTATCAATGAAAATGATATTTTGTTGAACTTCATTGTATTTTACAATTTGTGAGGTATACTGGGACCATCTGTGTAAAACTACAATGTTAAAAGCAATCACAAGATTACATTGTTTTCAAAAAAATGAGCAAAATAGGTGACCAAAATAAAAGCAATGCCGAAAGCAATCAAAGATTACATTGTTTGTCAAAGGCAAAGTACATTGCTAAAACTAGATACTATAATTACAACATTGTTTTTCAAAAGCAATCAACACAACCATGACAACATATAACCTAGTTCAAATTAAGACTATGTTTGTCAACATCAACCAAAACAATACATAAGCACCTAAAAGCCACATTTATGGGACACCTTTCCCTTTTTTGCTAACACCTGCCTTCACTTTTGCACTTCCAGCACCACCAGCCTTCACTTTTGCACTTCCAACCCAGCACCACCACCTTCACATTCGCAATTCCATCCTTCACTTTTGCACTTCTAGCACCACCAACATTCCTTAAAGTTTGTGATCCACCAGCCTTCACTTTAGCACTTCCAGCACCACCAGCCTTCTGTCCCTTGCAAGTCCTTGCATCATGACCAATTTTGTTACATTTAGAACATGTCACTGACTTTTGTGCTCTTGACAATTGGTTACCTTTCACCAAATCCTCAACCTCCATGGCAGATCTCCTTCTTTTTTTCTTTGGTCTTCCAATGGGCACATGGTGTTTTGGAGGGAGTAAGGTTGTAGGGCATGTAGACTTCTCCCACATGTTCCTTCCATTGATTGGCTGAATTGTAAAAGAGTACATATTCTTCCATGTTTCTAACCAATATGTTCGATTCACCCAATCTTCTGGTATCTTATCAATCTCTTTGTTCTTCAACATCTCCCACATAGTTGCTATTGCATGTGCACATGGTATCCCTATTAGTTCCCACCTTCTACATGAACATGTCTGTTGGCCCATATCTACCACGAACTGTTCCATAAGATTTTTACTGACTTGATATTTCCCATTACCATAGAAAACAGACCTTAATTGTGTAGCCTCTTTCTTCAATTTTCCAACCCATATGGTAGCTGTGGGAGTCAAGGGGCATGTAGCTTTATCAATTTCCTTTTGAACAGTTACAACTTTCTTCATTAAGTACTCTCTAATGTACTCCAAACATGTAATGATTGGTACATCACGACCTTCAACAATCTTGCTATTCAGATATTCACACATATTGTTAAGCATAGCATCTGTATGAGCTCTACCTGATAAATCAATAATAATGCATCAGTCTTTGTTACAAACTAATGATCTAACATTAAAATCTACCTGTAAAGTGTGAACGAGACCAATGTTGAGGAGGAATGTTTTTAAGCCACTCATACGCATCATTATTAAGTTTTCTTACTTCCTCCATTGATCGTTGAAACTGTTGAACAGTAGATGCTTTTGCACAATCCCATAGCAGGTCTTTGAATTGCTATCCCCTCCAACAAGATTTCATGTTTTCATGGATATGAAGAAGACAATAACGATGCTCAGCGCATGGAAACAACTTTGCTATAGCAGGTAACACTCCCTATACATGGAAAATATGTATTAAAATTATACCATATATAATGTATTAAATGTAAATGTAAACAACTTCGAATTAATACCTTTTTCCTGTCTGTCATAAATGTAAAATTTGAGTTGGTTCCTAAACCTAAATCATCCCCTAGACAAGTTAGAAACCAACTCCATGAGTTGGTACTCTCAGATTCCACAACAGCATAATCCAATGGATATGTTGCATTGTTACCATCAATTCCCTACATAAGTAGATATTTCACAATTAACCTAAAATACAAATTTTTATAATATAACTCAATGGATATAAATGTAGTTCATATGAAGAAAGGTTACCACAGCTGAAAGTATTTGTCCTGGGTATGGACCCTTCATAAAAGCACCATCGAGACCAAGAAAGTCTCTTCTTCCAGCAGCAAATCCCTTTTTTAAAGCACCAAGACAGATGTAAATGCGCTTGAAAGTTCTAGTTTATGCATTTGGATTTGGTTCACTCTCTACATCAATCTTCACCGTCGTGTCTGGGTTATGTTTTTAAAGTTCTAGAACATAATCTCTCAATAAAGCATACTAACCAACATAATCCCCTCGCACCTGATTGAGAGCTTCAGTTCTAGCCCTAAACACCTTCATCTTGGAAAGTCCCACTTGGTAATCACGTTGTAGTTGTTCTTGTAAAGTACTAATTGGAATAGTTGGGTTAGATTCCACCTGACTTGCAATTTGTTTGGCGAGAAACTTATAAGTACAAGCTTTAACATTCCGCGTTTGGAGACACCGGTGTTCTTTGTTGTAAGATTTGACCATCCAGTTTATGTCACATTTCCATTTACTAGCATAGAAGCTCCACGGGCATTTTTATTCATCTTCATTGTTGACTTCTTGTTGACCTTCCCCATTATTGTCTAAGTTTCCCAGTTTTGGTATTGTCCCCTACACACAACTCTTACCCTATTCTTGTTATTTTTTTCAAATTCAAGTTCCCTTCTTGTCTCAATAGCATGGAGTTTAACTCTTTCTTTAAACTCTTGGGCTGTATTAAAGGTTTGAAGGATATAAAATGGTTCAGCAACATTTGCTTCATCATTCTCGTGAGCTCTTTGGATAGCTTTTATGGTCTTCTTTCATTGGGCAACTGGTCCTTCATCCGAAGATGAGCCTGACATAAGAACCTCGTTATTTAGTACTTCATTAAGCTCCCAACTTCATTCTCTTCTTCTACCACATTACCATTCTTACCTCCAACCCAATCTGCATCCATATCAATGTTATCATTGAAATCATTCATGTCAACTTCTACATCATCTAAGATGTTGTCATTTTCAACAAAAAAGTCTATGTCATCGGACTCACTAGATTCATAACCACTATCATCCCCAAATTTGTCCCCGCTTCCAAATTCATCTTCATTTATGTCCTCAAATTTGTCCCCACTTTCAAATTCAGCCCATTGATCTTTTCCATCCTTGTTACCATCCTCAAATTCAACTTCATTTGTGTGGTCAATTTTGACCCCAATTTCAAAATCAGCACATGGATTTTCTTCCTTGTTATTATCCCCGTTATCAATAACAGTTAACTCCATATTGTCATTTCCAGTGAGGTCCACTACATTAGCCTCTTTAGAAGCATCTCCAACAACATTTTTTTCACTAGTATCATACCAATCTAAGAAAAGCCTACGAGAACATGTTGGAGGTTTAATAATTTCATTTATTTGAATTTTTATTGATTTGGGGACATTGTGTACGTATGTGTAACAGCCCGGAATTTCCAGGTATTTATTATTGGTGTTTTTTTTAGATTTGTGAGTGGACTCGGCGAGTTGGAGCTCGAACTCACCGAGTAGGATCGCGATTTGGGACACAAGTTCGCGTCCGGACTTAGTGAGTCCATGCTGTGTAATGAAACCCTAATTCCCAAGGTTTGAGACTTATTTAAAGGGCCTTATGGCTGTCATTTGTGCTCACCAATCCATAGAGAGAAACCCTAGAGTGCTTGAGCATTTTGAGAGAGAAAGGAAGCCATTCTTGACCTTTGTGGTGTTGTTTAGCAAGAAGAAGGAGGTCCTAGCCAAGAGGAAGCAAAGGAGGTTGCTATACTGTGGATTTGAAGCTTAGATCATCGAACTTGAGGTATCATTTCAGCTCATCTTCTGTTTTATGAAGTATATTTGGATTTAGGGTTTCTTTTGGCCTTTGTTGGGTTGATTTGATGCCCAAATAGTCCCTTTCTAGTGATAAGGCTTTGGATCTGGATCCATAGAGGTCCAGAGAGCCTCACTCATCAAGCTTTATGAAGAGAAATGTAGGTTATGACCTTGAGTGGTGGTATTTGGGGCTAAATCATCATATATGGTCATATAGATGTTGTATGTACATCAAGATAGCAACTTTACGTGATAAATAAGCTTGGAAGGACTGGATCTACGAGTTAGTGGAATAGATCTGACCTCAGGAGTGAGTTTGAGTCGTTGCATGGCATGGACTCGTCGAGTCCAAGAACAGACTCGGCGAGTAGCATGAAGACTGCCCAGCACCACTCAGCGAGTGGTCTTGTCGAGTTGAGCGATTGACTCAGTGAGTCAAGGAGAGTCAGAGTGGGTTGATAGGTGGACTGAGTCAAGCTGAGACTCAACGAGTTGTTCTTGAGACTCGGCGAGTTGAGTCGTGGGAGCCCCACAACTCATGCCAGGTGGAACTCGTCGAGTTAGGAGAATACTCGACGTGTCAAGTGAGGATTCCAGGGAAATCAGTGTATGCGCTTAGACTCGCCGAGTCGTTATAGTGCACTCGTCGAGTCCGGTCAAAGTTGACCATTGACCATTGACCAGTGTTGACCTATGTTGACTTGTTAAGTGATAGTCAACCTTAGTTGGGAAAGTGTTAATTAGAGATGTATTGTGTTATAGGAGGACTATAGCTCGGGAGATCGAGCACTAGTGATTTTAGGGATTTACGAATTACCGAGACACCCGAGGTGAGTCTTCTCAGTATACTTTACCTTGAGTAGGTAACTAGAGTTATGTGATACAGTGCTTGTATGCTATATTTGTGTTATGTGTTGTGCTGCATTATTCTTTGTGATTTATGATGTGCATGTTTACAGAGTTAGAACCTAAGGGTTCACAGAGTTTGGGTGCACGGACCCACAGAGTTATAGCCTCGAGTGGCTAATATGTGTTATATGTGGTATTTTGGGGAACTCCCTAAGCTTTGTGCTTACAGTGTTTGGTGTTATTTGTTTCAGGTACTAGTGACGACCGTGGAAAAGCGTCAGCTTGATCCGTACACACGCATGGGATTTATGATTTTGATATCTTGGGATTTTGTATTAATTGGATTGAATGTTCAAATATGGTTGTTTTATGAATATTAAGTGAATGATGTTTTATAAAAATTTGAAAATTTTGTTTTGAAATTTACGGTGTTACAAGTTGGTATCAGAGCCTTGGTTTGAGGGATTCGGGTACACCTTCGGGAGTATTTGAACTCAAACTGAGGATTTGGAAAATATTTTCAAAAGAAAACCAAATTTTTCTAAAAGTAAAAGATTTTTAGAGAAATTCAGAGAAGAAACGTGTGTACGATCAGTCAGCGCCCGAACGGTGATTTTCCAAAATACCCTTATATTATATGTTTATGAAAATTGATATGATGTATTCTCTTGCTAGAGTAGGCTAGGTATTCCTATTAGGACTAGAGTGCCCTGATTTGTGATGCCTTAGCCTAGGGAGAGGTGAGCTGCTATAAGATGCTTGAGAGTGAATAGGTAGCAGCGAGGAGCTTATGAGAGATCTGTTAGAGAGTGATAGAGTACTTGGAAATTGGGATCCGAAGAGGAGGATTTAGGGTGTATACTGAAACGCTGTGGACAGCAATATTGGGCCCGTACTACTAAAAGCACCGGGGCGGTATACGCTCCAAGTAAGAATCTTCGGAATGCCAAGGATCAAGGAGGGATGAGTTGTCGAGTGTGAGTATGCTCGAGCGGATTCTAATTTATCATATGTTGTATTTAAGAGGTTGATCATGGTGAGGACACGTCATATGCCGAAGGGCATCGGGGCTAGTGATCAGGAGATCCGTCAGATCATTCACGAGGAGGTGGTTGCGGTCATCAGGGCAGAGATACCATAGATGTTCGGGTCTATTAAGACTGCGTTGATTGAGACTTTCGACGAGCGTTATGCTGCTCTTTCTGAGGCTGCTATTGCGGTGGCCACCGCAGCTGTTGCTGCTGCGAGGCCGCAGGGTGGTGATGCGTTGCTATTTCGGGAGTTCAGCAACACGAAACCACCAGAGTTTGATGGGACCCAGGACCCGGTGGCAGCTATGAGATGGATTTCTGACATAGAGGGGTTTTTCTTCACTTTCTCATCTCCTGAGCATTTGAGAGTATGGTTCGCGCTGAACCAGCTTCGCTTGGGAGCAAAGGACTGGTGGAAGTTTGTCACAACACACTTTTTGCCTGCTGAGCTTGCGGCAGTGACCTGGGAGAGGTTCACTGCCATGTTCCGAGATGAGTACGTTCCCCAGGTGGAGAGGGAGCATTTGGCCCAGGAGTTTCTGACCCTCAAGCAGGGCACTGAGTCTGTTACGGTGATTACCAGGATGTTTCACGAGAGGGCAATATTCTGCCCTGAGCACGTGTCCACTGAGCAGGCACGTATGAGCCGGTATTTGAGTATCTTGAGGCGATACATTCGGGAGTTCGTGGCGAACTCCTCATATCGGACATTTGCTGAGCTTCAGGAAAATGCCCGAAAGAGGGAGATCGAGCTGGAGACTCAGGCTAGGGAGGAGGCTGAGTCTCAGGGGAGGCATCGGCGACCGACACAATTCCAGCCAGCAGCCAAGTGGGCCAAGCCCGCTGATCCCAAATCAGGGAGCCAGAAGGGCCGCACTTGTGGAAAGTGCGGCAAGGGTCATGATGGAGTATGTAGAGCTGGATCTTGCTACAAATGTGGCAAGGAGGGGAATATGGCCAAGGACTTCCCCAAGGGGTTTGCAGTGTGTTTCCACTGCAACCAGACCGGACACCGGAAGGCGAAGTATCCGCAGTTGCGAGGATCAACTCACGGAGCACCTTAGGGATCTGCCCCTGCCTCCATCAGAGCTACCGAGAATCGGCCAGTGAAGGCCGAGGCACCGAGGGCACGTGGGAGAGCGTTTCAGTTAACCGCGGAGGAGGTCCGCGCAGCGCCCGATGTCGTGGCTGGTATGTATTCTTTCGTGTATTTATTGTAATGTTGAGATATTATGCTTATATTAAAATATGCGCATGTACTTTTCTTGTGAATTCTATACCTGCCTTGGTATTATTTGACTCGGGTGTGAGTATGTCTTTCGTATCTTTGGCTTTTAGTCAGCACATCAGTGTTAGTCGTGAGGCGCTGAGTCGGCCTCTGAGAGTTTCCATAGCTAACGAAAAGGTGATATACGCCACGGAGGTGATCCGTGGGTGCGTACTCAAGATTTTCGGTGTTGAGTTCCTGATTAATTTGGTTCCTATTGCCATGGGGGATGGCTGTACCATTGTGGGCATGGACTGGTTGAGCAGGTTCGGTGCGGTTATCGACTGCGAGCGATAGCTAGTGACCATACGAGACCCTAGTGGGGGAGTTCTTACAGTGTAGAACGGAGGTACCCATTCTGGATCAGCATTTTGTTCGGCCGCTAGGGTGAAGCAGTGTCTACAGCAGGGTTGTAAGGGTTTTGTGGTGTATGTGTCAGATATGCGGGTTGATTCCAAGAGGTCAAGGTCGGTGGAGGAGGTTCCTATAGTGCGTGAGTTCCCAGATGTCTTCCCAGAGGAGTTGTCGGGTTTGCCTCCCGTGAGGCAAGTAGAGTTCAGTATCGATTTGGTCCCGGGGGCCGCGCCTATCGCTAAGGTGCCTTATCGTCTTGCACCTCCAGAGATGCAAGAGTTATCCTCCCAGCTTCAGGAGCTGCTGGGGAAAGGGTTTATTCGGCCGAGTAGCTCGCCGTGGGGAGTGCCTATTCTGTTTGTCAAGAAGAAGGATGGTTCACACCGGATGTGCATTGATTACCGGGAGTTGAACAAGCTGACGGTCAAGAACTGTTACCCATTACCGAGGATCGACGATTTGTTTGACCAGTTGCAGGGACCATCTTGGTTCTCCAAGATCGATTTGAGGTCTGGATACCATCAGGTGAGGGTGCGAGATGAGGACGTCCAATAGACAGCGTTTAGGACGCGTTATGGGCACTATGAGTTTGTGGTGATGCCTTTCGGCCTCACTAATTCCCTGGAAGTGTTCATGGATCTCATGAACCGGGTGTGCAGGCCGATGTTGGATCGGTCGGTGATTGTATTCATTGATGACATTTTGGTATATTCGAGATCTAGAGAGCAACATGAGGAGCATTTGTGGGAGATCCTCGGAGTTCTGAGGTTGGAGAGGCTTTATGCCAAATTCTCCAAGTGTGATTTCTGGTTGCGAGAGGTCCAGTTCCTAGGACATCTTGTTAACCAGGAGGGGATATTGGTCGACCCGTCCAAAGTTGAGGCGGTGATGAGTTGGGAGGTGCCGAGGTCACCCTTCGAGATCAGGAGTTTTCTAGTGTTGGCCGGTTATTATCGGAGATTTATCAGGGATTTCTCTAAGATCGCAGTGCCACTCACTAGGTTGACCCAGAAGGGTGTCGCTTTTTCATGGGGCCCCGAGCAGCAGGCCTCCTTCGAGAGGCTTCGCCAAAGGTTATGCGAGGCCCCGGTGTTAGCCCTCCCGGAGGGAATGGAGGACTTTGTAGTATACTGTGATGCATCGATCTTGGGTTAGGAGCGGTGCTGATGCAGAGACGGCATGTGGATAGTGTGACAACCCGAAATTTCCATTTGTACGAACATTATCTATTCAATAGAAGCTAGTCCAGTTTCTGTAATTTTCAGACTTGTCCGAACAAGTTTGTGTACATTAGGGTTTTACATTTCTGGACATATCAGGAGAGTGGATGCTCCTGTAATTGTGAAACTTGAACATTGTAAGTTTCATGATTGCTATAGTCCGACTTCGGGAATAAAAATATTTTCTGTCAAAATATTCCAGGACTATAAATAGATTTCTGAATTTAATTAATTCATTATTCACAATTCCAACTAGAGAAAAGTCAATTTTCTCTGACGGATCTTCGGGTTTTCATCCCGGATTGTGAGTCTACTTTCCTAAACGTGTTTTAATACTTGTTATATGCTTTATAACATCAATTATATGTCTAAACTGCAAGATCCGAGAGTTTACCGCCCAAGAACGTTCTTGGGGAGTAAACTCCAAAACGGAGCCTAAAGGCTTCCTAGTCCCGATTCCTTGTTAGACAACTTGTTTACGGGTTAGTGTATAAACATTTGGGACTAAAAAGCAACCAAGAAACACAAGTTCTAGGAGTTTACGGCCAAGGAACTTCTTGGGCCATAAACCCCTTTTTAAGGGTCAAAAATGCCCTAACTCACCTCCTTAAGCCTAAGGACTTTACCCTTTAATGCTTGTGCTTATTTTGGAC